AACCTTCCATTCCCTGGAATGCCTCAAACATCCCTTATCTTAAATAGCAACCGCTCATGCGCATTTATGCCTACTAGTGTTTATGACATTACAGGTTCGAATGAATATGAAATGGACTCGCCATTTTTCCCGGTGTATGTGGCGTTATTCAGCTACAGGGGATCTCATTAGTCTTCATTTACGAGCTTTCCTCATTCATTTTGTTCTCCTCTTAATGTTAGATTCAAAACAACTGTAAATTTTTCATTTCAATTTTCTACCTTACCTTAATCCTATCCAGTAAGGTTTATCATCAGAAATAACATTCTTGACTTCTTGAAGACTAGCCGAATCTATTATTCTTCCAAGTCGTTCATTTCCGTCGCACTTGCAACCCCCTTTCTCTCCTAAATCTTCTCCTTTACATGGGTTTGAACTATGGCGATATGTGAGTGAGGAACTTGACTGGTAAATATCTAATGACAAGATAAAAGATAATTCAAGAAATCACATACCAACCTTTAAATCAATTGATTTTTCAAAGTCATTCAGCTGGCGCGTAATGAACCCCTAGGATTTCATCTGCTACAGCCATCTTCAACATCAAGGTTGAAAAATTCCCAATCTAAAAGATGCGTTTGCATACTGAAAACTGCAATAAAAACTTCGCATTTGAGCAGAACGGAAAGCAACATACATTTCCAACTGGTCGTAACCTGGTAACATAACATCGCTTGTACACTCAAAGTAAGGAAAATCTTAATAGCCAGCTGCACGTTGGTGGAACGTATATTTGTTCTTGTAACTTTAAAATTTTAATATTTACATTTCCTTTGAATCAAATCTTCTTGATGGCGAACATTTGATTCATTATTTTAAAAAGATAATTTATAAGCAAAAACAAAAAGGGTGCTCTACTTCTGCCCTGCTGTTGCGTTGAATATTTCATGAAAAATTGTACAAATACTCCAGTTATAATCAACACCCTCAGTGCAAACTCATAAGAACTCATTAGATTTTTTTATCGGCGCTACGAAGAAATTGAACGCTTATTTACCAGCCACGTGTGACAGTTTTGAAACCTTTGTGAATATTTAATGAACGTTCATTTCCCAAGACTCCAACTTATTCAGACTCAACCAATCGAAAATTTTCTTTCTGGATAAACCCATTTCAAATTTGTGTATTTGCTATTGTAGGTTGCTACAGAGTTTACGAACATTCCCAAAACTTTAGCAGAGCAAGTTTTCACTGACTAGTATCATCACGGCAGCTTTCATACGATGAGTCTATGGGCGAAAAAGGCTTAGCCAGAAATTGATACTTTTCACGCCAGTACTCAATTGAATCTTAAACATATTAACACTCGTGATATAAACTTCAGCAGAGTAAGTTACAACTTGCAATGGAAAACAACGACGTGAATGTGACTTCAATACACACTAGCGCACCGAGGAATAAAATGGCTTTGATACAGACAATGAGGCAAAAGACAGACCCTTTCTTTCATGTCTGTAGCTACACTGAAAATTACAAGAATCAATATCAATAAGATATAAAAATATATATTGATCTTAAAAGAGCTTTGAAACAAAAAGAGAAAATTAACTCTCCTATGTATGTTTAATCTACAGCGTTAACACCGCCAGGGACATTAATAAGAGCCTTGTTTGTGTCAGTTTATTGAAAAAAAAAAGTGCAATCTAAGACAGTACAAGTTACAAAGTGTGTAGAACAAAGGTTTTCACTCATGATCATGAAAACAACAGACGTTGTTACTTACCACCCAGGAAGACGAAAATTTCAAGCAGAATATGGAAGTTGAACGGGTTGATATGGAAAAAATTATTCATTTTCTAAACCAAGACGCCGTCGTTGTAGCTAACTTTGCCCAAGGTAGCGTAATGTTCCTTTGAAAACTTTTTTTCCTGATCTGTTTTCTTGAGCTGTTAGCCAAACAGCATCAGAGGAACCGCTCAATTTTTCCGTATCTTCCGTGCCCCGTGTTTATAAGGAGAGACGTATTTTACTAATTATGTAAATATATTTCTATCCTGCTTTTGCTGACTTCCTATGATTATGAGGTTTTGTAATCTTTTGTTTGTTAATAGATGCAATTGTGTCAAGGATGACTGGAAGGTTGTTCACCTGTGCATTTATTGACTATTGAGTGACACACAAAATTGCTTGGAAAATATTTCATATGATTTTCTTTTTCTTCCCTAATGAACGAGTAAATTCAGGAATACGAGTTTTCACCTGCCTCAGTAATTTATGGCATTCGTTCGGAAAGGAACAAAATTAATCCGGAACAAAGGGAAATTATTTTGTTAATGCATATTAAAAAAAACCACAACAACAACTACGTCAGGCGGGAAGAAAAATCAACTCGATGCCGACGCAAATGCGCAAATGAAATAAATTCTCTCTAAAAAAAATTGATGTGGTCAATTAATTTTGGATTCTTCACAACGAAAGTTCTTCCATGGTCAAAAATTATGATATTGCAGCTTCTAAGCAAACTTGTATCTGCTGATAATTGAAACGATCGAGTCTTGATTCCAAGCAAATATACCAGTTTAATATTAAATATCACTCGGTACAACCATAGAAATTTTACTGAAGTTAAGATAAAAGAAAGTCTGAAAAATTGAGAAATTCGTTTAGAAAAACAAATCCCAAATACTCTTCCTCCCAGCTCAATTGAAGATCAAAGGATAGAGTCTCATGTTATTAACACTGTGCATATGTTCGAAAGTTAATAAGAACGAAGAAAACGCCAAAACATAATTTTTCTCTCAATAAGATTAAAAAAAAAAGTTTAAAATCGTCTTCAACAGGTAGCTTAACGCACTGGTCCTTTTGGAAACTTAACATTAGTTTCGTTGTAAGTTTGGTACATTAACACCCTGTAGCTTTTCGAGCATATGTGTTCTCTTCATGCAAAAAAATACGTGCGTTGCATGATCGGCTTAACTTTCAAATGCAGATGCCTAAAAGTAACGAATTAACAACTCATTTGAATAATTGGCAAGCTACAAATGTCCTAATAGTAGACTATATCACCACCTCTCTTTTAAACTGATCAGTTTTTCATTGCCTTTTTCGATTTTCACATTTGTGCGGAAGTTGAGACGCAAGGCACATTAGAATTTTGGTTCTGCTAGAGTCTTTGGTTCTGTTAGAGTTGCAACCTTTAATTTAGTGCGCTATCAACGCCATGAGTCAGCGAAAAAATAACGTGCTCTCAATTCTTTTTAGAGTTTAAAAGGTGGACATTTCGAGGGCTCGGAGATTAATTTTACCGAGCAACTTTCACTAGTTCAAACAACAACAAACATATGAAACATAT